TCCTTCCTTCCTTCCTTCCTTCCTTCCTTCCTTCTTCCTTTCCTCCTCCTCTCCTTCTATTTCCTTCCTTCTCTCCCTTATCCTTCCTCCTCTTCCTCTTCTGCTTCCCACCCTCCTTCCTTCCTTCTTTCCTTGCTCCTCTTTCTCTTTCTCCTCCTCCTTCTCCTCTTTTGTTACTAAGACCAAAGAGGCTATTTCTGTTCCTGTACCAATTCATACTGGATTTCCTGGCAGCTTTGTCCAAATGCCTCTGGGAACAATGTTTCAAGGCATAATGGCATTCCCCTGGACATTTGACAACCAGGCACAATGCAAGCTTCACTGTTAAAAACGATAGTTAAAAAGAGCCCTCTCCTTGATACACAAATTGCTATGGAAATAAGAAAATTAAAGAGTTCAGCTTGATTCTAATTTTAATTGCTGTCTTTGGGTTGAATTCTTTTAGTCTACTATTAATGGATTGTTTGTCACAGCAACTGGACTCCTGCCTGAGCTTTGTTGGACTCCCATTGTGTGTGTATAAAATTGCTTGGAAAACTTGATTCTAGTCTTATCTTGTTGCAAACTAGAGATGAGCTGGACTTTGGTTCTGAAGTTGAAAAGGTTATTTGAAGGAGGTGTGCACATCGTTGGTACCTCCTTAAGCAAGGAGAGCATCTTTTCCTGGGCCAGAACAATAGTTTCATAATCCTAAGAAAATTCATAATTAAGTTTAGAGATTTCAACAGAGAACTACGTGGTGCTTTGGAGCAGATGTTAAATATCCAAACATTTGCTGTTGGGTACACAACATTTTACAATATTGTCAGATTTGAGATATGGACTTCAACTCCCAGGATTCCACAGCCAGCATGTTATATAAGCCATCCATCTCTGCTGGGTGGGGAATTCTGGAATTCACCCCTCTTAAAGGGGACAAGGGATGTGGTGGCTCAGTGTCTAAGACGCTGAGCTGGTTGATCAGAAAGGTCGGCAGTTCGGCGATTCGAATCTCTAGCACTGCGTAACAGAGTGAGCTCCTGTTACTTGTCCCAGCTTCTGCCAACCTAGCAGGATGTAAGGATGTAAAAAATGCAAGTAGAAAAATAGGGACCATTTTGGTGGGAAGGTAACAGCGTTCCGTGCACCTTCGGCATTTAGTCATGCTGTCCAAAGGACCATGGAGATGTCTTCGGACAGCACTGGCTCTTCAGCTTTGTAATGGAGATGAGCACCTCCCCCTAGAGCCGGAAATGACTAGCACATATGTGCAAGGGGAACCTTTAGCTTTACCTTTAAAGGTGACAAGGTTGTGAAACAACCTTGCTCTACGTGACAGAATTTGCGCAGAAAAGTAAGGTAGAAAAGAAAAAGACCTTAAGACAGGGTCTAGGACATCTGTCGGTGGCAATCTCACCACAGCCATCTCACCATGGCCAACTTGCCATGGGACAATTCCACATGAGATAACTCAATGTGATAAACATTATACGCCACTGTTTCTTCATCATTATTTCCAATTTTTGTCAACTGAAATAATGACAAAGAAACAGTAGTCCCATTCAGTTATCCTGCATGGAATTGTCCTGCATCAAGTTGTCGTATGGTGAGTTGGCTGTAGCAAGATGGCCATGGGGAGATGGCTGCAGTGGATTGGCTGAGGTGAGGTGGCCGTGTTGAGGGGGTTGTAGTAGATGGCCACAGTGAACTGGCCATAGCAAGATGCTGTGGAGCAGTAGTCGCCAACTAGTGGGCCGGGCACCACTGGTGGTCCGTGAGAAAATGTTGGTGGTCCACAGAGAAATGTCACCCCAAAGCACCCCCCAAAGCAATTAATCCATGCTGCACAGGAACACAAGGCTGTGCCACCCACATGGCCCATGGGAACACAAGGTTTACATCACTTGCATTCCAAACAACATGAGGTAGTGAGGGGAGGGGGGAAAGGCCAGAGGGGCGGAACTTGCCCCACTCACCCCACGCACCTGGCCCGGCCACCAGGCTGCTTCTTTCCACTTCTTTCTTCTACTTTTGGCTGCACACAAGGAAAGCAGCAAAAGTCTTTCTTTCTCTTCCCCAAACGGCGCCAGAAATGAATTTTTGAAACCCTGCAAGGCATCCTGCTCCAAGAGGCTATGCCGGAAAAGACTCATTTCTGGCAGAGTTTGTGGGAGAGAAAGAAAGACTTCTGCTGCTTCTGCTGCTTTCCTTGCATAAAGCCAAAAGTCTCTCTCTCTCTCTCTTTCTCTCCCCCTGAGAATGGAGCTGGAGATGGTATCCTGCAATCCCAAATAAAGAATGATCCATCGGTAGGAAAACGGGATGGGGAAATTTCCTGCAGATGGTTTTGGGGATTTTCCCAGGGTCTCTGGTCTGCAGGATTTAAAATTATGAGTTTGGTGGTCCCTGAGGTCCAAACAGATGGCGACCCCTGCCATGGAGTGTTTGTTGGCTGTAGCGAATCAGCTCATTCCGCTCAAGAACAGCAATGGAGCTATCAGCAATAAAGAGACTGCTTATACTTAAGGCCGACAGGATGCGTGGGGGAGAACATTTCTGCTGAAAATCACACGAAAAATAAACTTAGCCCAGCTATCAAGCATCCACCTGGGAAGCCAAGCCCTCTCTTCTTTATACAATAGTGCATTCTCAATACATAAATCACTTGCTAGAGAGTGTGGGCTGAAACACTAGCAATCTGTCATGGGACGTAAATGACAAAGTGTCTTTGCAGAAAGAAGAACACAGAAAAAGTCTGGATAATAAACAAAACACCTGCTTAAGTTATGAAGCAGAGGATAATAGGAATCAGTGCTTTGGATGCTTATATACTCCCCGTGGCTTTCTCGAACAATTATAATGTCAGCGTTCGGAGTAACAGACCCATTGAAAGCAGAACTCTGAGGCAGGTTCACTTCACAGTTGATCTATATAAACAAGGGTAGTGTCGTGGTTAACATACTGTATGGCTTAGATATTGCAATCTGAGGGGAAATTATTCTGTTAGGTGAAATGTACGAATGAGTGGGGATGAGAGAAGAGGTTACAGTTAGTCCTGGACTTAGGACCACCATTTGGTCCAGAATTTGCATTGCTAATGAAGATGATTATTAAGTGAGTCACCCTCGATTTTACAAGCTTTTTTTTTGCTGAGGTTAACCCGATAGTGATTTTTTTCAAAAGGCAACTGGACTTTGTTTTTCCTTGAAGATGTTTCGCTTCTCATCCAAGAAGCTTCTTCAGTTCTTCAGTCAGAACTGAAGAAACTTCTTGAATGAGAAGCGAAACATCTTCAAGGAAAAACAAAGTCCAGTTGCCTTTTGAAAAAGCGCAATTTGGGACAACCATGACCTGGATGATTGAGAATCTCCATAGAGATTTAGCTATGCACTTTAGGATGAACACCCTTTGAATGGTGACGGATTATAAATGGACTTCCAAAAAAAAATTACAGACTATAGGAACCATTTGCATTTCAGTTTGAGATTCAGGAAACACAGACTCATCCCCAACAGCCTGGGCCTGTGTTCAATAGTGAAGGGACATAGGGCAGAGAAAAACATCCTGAAGAAAGCACAGCTACGTTGCACAGTCCTTTCAGCAGTTCCGAGAAGGTTCCACACCCATTTGCATGACTCAGGTGACCCTGAGGACACAGACAAACCTCCAAGAGGCCTCAATGACTCTCTGAGAAGAACGCAAATGACCAGCTGACTGCAAGGAGTATAAATCCTTCCATTCTCCATCCTCTAGTCAGAGCTGAAGAAGTTTCTTGGATGAGAAGCAAAACGTCTTCAAGGAAAAAGTACCTTTCGGGACAACCATGACCTGGATGACTGAGAATCTTCATAGACATTTGCTCTGGTTAAGCCAATAGTTAAGGAAGAGTTAAGCGAATCATGCAGCCAGTAAGCAAATTGGACTTCCCTCATGGACTTCGCTTGTTGGAAGCCTGCTGGGAAGGGCGCAAATGGTGATCACATGACCCAGAGGTACTACAACCATCATAAATACAGGCTGGTTGGTAAGCACCCGGATTTTGATCACGTGACCATGGGGATGCTGTAATGGTACATAAGATTTTTTTTTTCCCCAGTGCCATTGTAACTTCCAACAATCACTAAATGAATGGTTGCAAGTCAAGGATTAACCTGGAAAAAAAAACTGAACAGGGTGTTCCGAAACCCCAAAAGCTATGCAAATTGTAACTAAATGGTTAATATTAACTTGGAAAAAAGTTTTTGATTTCCAACTGATAGTTTAAACAGAAGTTTATTCATCCACAAGCATGATATTAAAGGAATGGGTATAAATCTATAAGCCCATGTGTGTGGATGAGGGTTTTGATGAATGCCAGAGAGAATTAATGAAGGTACAGGCATAAAATGTTTTAAGTGTGAAGCCAACCATGGACAATCTGGACATTTTTAGCCTATAGAAAAGGCAGCAGAGGGGAGATACGATAGCCATCTTAAAATGTCTGAAAGGCTATCAAACAGTTGAAGGAGCAGAGTCATATTCTACTGTTCCTTAAGGCAGTACCAAAATAAGAACCAGACGGTTAAAATTATAAGGAACTAGATTCAGGCTAAACATCAAGAGGAACTTATTTATTTGTTTTATTTGTAGATTTCTTTGTAGATTTCTTTTATCCCACCTTTATTATATTTTTAAGCGACAGTGGTGGCTCAGTGGCTAAGATGCTTGTCAATCAGAAAGGTTGGCAGTTTGGCAGTTCGAATCCCTAGCACCGCATAATGGAGTGAGCTCCTGTTACTTGTCCCAGCTTCTGACAATCTAGCAGTTTGAAAGCACGTAAAAAATGCAAGTAGAAAAATAGGGACCACGTTGGTGGGAAAATAACAGCATTCCGTGCGCCTTCGGCATTTAGTCATGCTGGTCACATGACCACAGAGACGTCTTCGCGCTGGCTCTTTGGCTTTGTAACGGAGATGACCATCGCCCCCTAGAGCCAGAAACGACTAGCACGTATGTGTGAGGGGAACCTTACCTTTACCTTATATATTATATTATATCAAAAATTATATTTTTATGGACAACTCAAGCTGGTGAACATTCCTAATCCTCCCTTCTATTTTTCCCACAACAACCAACCTGTCAGGTGAGTTGAGCTCAGAGAAAGTGATTTGTCTGACTACACCTAGCTGGCTTTCATGGCTAAGGCAGGATTAGAATTCAGTTTCATGATTTCTAGTCGTAATGATATGAGCTGCAACACGAATTGAAGAGCCCAGTGATGTTCACTTCATTCCACTTTTCTTGACCTTTTAGCTTTCTCTTCAGGTTCTTTCTTTTTCTTTCCTTTGTCTTACTTTATATTAGTTTGTATTTGTTTTTCAGCTTCCTTTAATAAAAATTGTGTGTCTGTGTATGTGTGTGTGTGTATACAACAAAAATATATAAAATTTCAAAAAAGGAGAAAGCTACATCTGAAAACCACTCATGGGGAGAACAAATCTCTCATCCGTATGTTTGTGATTAAGCCGAGATCTTTTTGTGCCCTTAAGTGGAAATGAGAAATGAGAATCTGCTACTTTTTGTCAATTCTTAGTAAGTCCCAAGCTGGCAAAGCAATCATCTCCTCTTAGAAATCCTTGCTTTTCTTAATGCCATCCTCCCAGAAAGACCTTGTCAGCCCCAAGCAGGCATTTTCTGTAAATATCATGGTAGAGGAGTCTGACATTTTCTGGACTGCTCTTTAGTGTTAATAAGTGTTAATAAAAGATTCCTAGGACAGGGTAACCTTTTCACAAAGTATTTGTAAATGCCAAAAACTGCATTAACCACACACACACGTACATGTGCGTGCACACACACACACGCACACAGAGAGAGTGTTTCAGGCAGTAGTTGTATAACTTTGCGTGCAATTATTAAGTTTGGGATTCAGTGGTAATAAAAGAGGCACGATGGCTCAGTGGCTTAATGACGCTGGAGATGGTCTCCACTCTGGCAATTCGAGTCCTAGCATTGCGTGTCTGGTTGAGCTCCTGCCACTAGCCTCAGCTTTTGCTCAATTTGAGGTTTGAATGCATGTTCTAGGTGAGCAGATAAAATAGGCGCCACTTCAATAGAAAGATGAGCTGGTGGTGTGCTCTGTGCTGGCAGCCAGATTCCTGTCCTCCGAACCTTCCCGGTTGTGAGGCGTCTGTTTGTGAGACAATTCCAGAAAGTGGGGGCGGCTTGAATGATGCCACTGGAAGAGTCACTTGTATTTGTTCCTGGTTGGAAGCCAGCTTGCCCTCTTGTGGTGCATCATGGGGAGTGCACCAGCGTGTATCTGACAGAGCTAGTAAACCGTCAGCCAAACTACCACTCTGCAATTGCATTGTAGCTAATGTATCACCATCATGTGTTAATAATAATAATAGCGGTAATTAAAAACAGTTGATTAAATAATGTGGTGAGATGATGCTGAGATTTTGTCTACCTCATCTGTAGGTGAGATGTGGTCCAGTAGCCTAGAGGTGGAGCCTTCGCTTCACAATCAGTGAGTTTGATCTTTAGATAGCAGCAAATATTTGTGTCTCTAGGCACAATGAGTAAATATCAGCTGCAAACTCTGCATTGGCGACAGGGAGAGCATACAGCCAGTAAATACTCAGCTCCGTTCAGTTGCCCAACTCTGCCCCAATGCAAGAGATTCCAGGGTCACTAAAAGACAAAAAAAAAATCTTAGATAAGGCGTGAAGAATTTCTCATTAACATGGCTTCCATTCCATTTTTTTTGCAGGCTCTCTGGGCCTGGTTTGCTCTTTTCGTACAAGCAAACATGTTCATCTCGCTACTGGTAGTCTTCAACTTAAGACCATAATTCAGCCCCAAAATTTCCATGGCTAGGCAAGA